CATAAAATGCAGTAACGTAACATATTTCATGCTGAAATGCCTGTATAACAGTTGTACTCTTGTATAAAATACAAAATGTTTAAAGCAAACAAAAATAAACACTTCAGCGAGCTGAAGTGCAGTGATATAAGAGACTTCCTCCATATTTCTGGTTCTGGTAAAAAGTTGCTGTGTTTGCAACATCAGTAAACTTTTCATATTTAGCTTTGTGCAACGTGTTGCAGTTGTGACTTGTATTAAAATACTTCTCGACAGACAGCGAGCAGCCTGCCTTGAAAATCTGTGAAAAGATAGTTTTCCTCCAGTTTTACCTGAAACATGCTATTAGCTATGGCTAAACGTCTTTTCCTCGCTGGTGGAGAAGACAATCATGAGAGGCGGCGTCTGCRTTGGCGGTGCCATCTAGTGGCAAAATTTGTCGTTACAACCGATTCAGCGCCACCGAAACATTTTTACACATTTTTGTAATGTTCTAATTTTCAAAAATGAATGTAGGAGCTGCAGTGAGTGCTTTTATTTTAGTTTAAAAAACATTTTTTAAACTAAAAACACTTTTTTGAAGGGGTCCTCATTGGCGAATCGATTGAAAGTCATCTGGCCCGTGGGTCACCAGTTGCCCATTCAGTTTGACGTATGCAGCACTAGAATTTGGTGTGGTAGTAGCTGAGAGTCTTTCACAATACACACTCCAAGTGCTGCTCATTGTTAGCAAAACATCTCATGAACCACTGGAGGGTTTTTAACGAGACTCAAAAAGTCAACAACATATTAATTCTGGGAGGTTTGAACCTCCATGTTCTCCAAGTCATAAACTGAACTCAAGGGGGTGAGAACGTCAGTGTGTGTTCTCTATTCCTCCTTATTTTATACCCCCCCACTCCTGTTGCTCATATTTTCCATCCTGAATAAATGCTCTAAGCATAGCTGAAGCTTGAAGTCAGTCTGTCGCCAATAAAACACACACACACACAAACCGAGTGAGAAACCCCCTGACCAAGTCGCTGTACAAATTTCAGCTTTCAAGTCATTTTTTTAACCGTAATCCCGATCTTGTGATGGTTTCCTGATTGTGTTTTTGAAGTTTTGCGCTGCAGGTCTGTTCACGCGTCGTACCTCGGGACAGAGGTCGATACTGAAACTCTTTTTGCGCGTGTGTTTCGTGCACATAACTTCAGGGAGGTGTTCGTGTTCTCTGTTATTAGCCTGAGATGCGAATCAGAGGTTTAGGTGATGATTTAGTGGAGGATGTGTTCGCTGCAGTAGGTTTATAATTAGAGGCACTGGGACACGGTGTGGTCGGTGAGACTCAGGCAGGAAGAAGAGAAAGAAAAACTGAATTATTGCTTCTGGTGTGATCTGTTTGTGTAGAYTTTAGGTGTAAATGTTGCAACAATCTATTTTAAATGTAAATTTGGTGTTAAAATGAGTTAAAAAACTAAAACTTTTCTTTATTCTTATGTTTGTTAGATTAAATATAAGGAGTTATGGAGTGAAAATAATTGGTTGTTTGTCTCACTAGTGATTCGTGCAAAGGTGGTGGGAGAGACAGAAGTGGATTCTGGGAATGATATCTATGGGAATCCCATCAAGAGGATCCAATATGACGTCAAACAAATCAAGGTAAATTCACCCTGTAGATTCCAACAAAAGTGTTTTATTTTAAATTAAAAGAAGGGGATTTGAGACACTGAGTCTCTTTTGTTTTAAACTTTTTATTACGTGTTTATATTTCAGATGTTCAAGGGTCCAAACCAGGACATCGAGGCAGTTTTCACTGCTCCGGTGTCGGCCGTCTGTGGCGTGACCCTGGATGCCACTGGCAAGAAAGAGTACCTGATTTCAGGTTTGTGAGACAACTTTTTGGTTTCTTATTTTAAACTAACCTAATGTTATACAACCATTATGACAAATAAATAAGAACAAGTCAGAAAAAAACCACTGAAAGAGCAAAAAATAATAAAGTTCTCATTCAAAATCCTGTATTTCTAATGTTTGAAAAGTGATAAAAAGTCACCAGCAGGTAAGGGTTGGACGAAACCAGGCCAACACACATGAAAGTGGATAAAGACTGGTGAGCACACCGAGGAAGTATCTGTTTATGTTATTCTGGGTAATGACACACCGCTGACTAAACCCCGTGGAGCCTGGTGGGAACCGGTCTGTCCTGGGACACTTCAGCTACTGATTAACTGATTTTTGCATCTGCTTTGCTAATTAAAGCATCCATTTTAACTAATTTGAACTTTAGCATCTTTTTTTTTACTTTTAGCTACAGTTTTGACAAAATTAGCATTGATTTATCTACTTTTAGTTACTGTTTTGCTGCTTTGAGCTGTAGTTTTGCTGATGTTGGCAACTGTTTGGCTAATTTTTGTGCCTGTTTTACTGCATCTTTTGTAGCTAATGTAATCTTTATCATGTACTTTTCTACTTTTTTCTACAGTTCAGACAATGTTTGCACCGGTTTTGCTACTTTTAGTTACTGTGTTGCTACATTTAGCTGTGGTTTGGCTAATATTAGCAACCATTTTGAAAATTTCCGTGCCTGGTTTTGCTAGTTTAAGCCTTTGTTTCGCTAATGTAAGCTTTAGCATCTTTATCCTTTTACTTTTAGCTACAGTATTCAAATATTAACAATGGTTTTGTTATTTTTAATTTAAGATGTTTGGCAATTTAAAGCTTCAGCATCCTTTTTCTACAGCACTGGTTAAGTTAATTGTAGCTGCTATTTTGCTAATTGTTTTGCTAATTTTAGTTTTAATGTTTTTGCTGCTTTAGCGTTAAACACATTTTAATGTTTAGCTAATGTTCGGCTCATTTCAGACTCAATTTTGCTCATGTCAGCCTCTGCTCTGCTTGTTTTATTTTCAATGACTCAGTTCAGGCTTCTTCTGCAAATTCAGCACTCAGCATTTTCACCGAGAATTCAAYTGACAGCAGCTGTTTTTTATAGAAGAAGCTGAAGAAATCTGTCTGCTCTGCACCAAACGCCAGATTATTTTTGCCATTCGGCAAATAAATAATCAGAAACTGGTCTGGAAGGAAATTAATATTGGATAAATATTTACAGAAATGATAACTAGGACACTTTTTTTTTTTTGAGCAAAGCAGAAATTATTATTTTTTTACAGCAGGTTTGACTCATTTGCTGCTGAAACGAATCGAGGCTGCTGCTGTGAATTAAAGCAGCACAAACCGACAGCGCAGCAAGCAGAGGAGACGCAGAGGAACATGAGGTCATTCATGCTCTGGTTTCTCCATCATCACAGACAGAGATGCACCCACAATCACCCCCCACCACCACCCCACTTTAATTACACAGAGTTGTAAGGAGGAACTGCTGAAGCCAGCGGTTCCTTTCGCAGAGGCGAGCAGCGGCAAAGACAGTTAAGACTTTCTGCTGAGGAGGGCATCTTTGGTAAATGATTCGGTTCCCTTTCAGGTCGACGGGTCAAAAGTTGGGAAAGTTGCGGAGAAATGTGAGTCAGACCCGTCTGCAGGCGCAGAGCGGTGAAGATGAAGCAGATCTGTTTTGGCTCGAACACTCCACGGGAACAAGTTGTCTCTGTTGGTGCCTGCAGACATCAGTGTGGAAAATAAGATTTTATCGTGTGCTCCAGTGAATCTTTCATCCGTTTATCTAAAGGGAACGTTCACCGTCTGTCCAGATGTTGCTGCTGTTTTGTCTGAAAGTTCTTGCCCCGCCCCACGTGACCGCTGGCTCTTTTTCTAGGCAAGGCCGAGGCGGGCGGGCGCATGCACGTGACCCTGTGTGATTACATCATGCTCTGGGACTCGCTGAGCGCCACCCAGAAGAAGAGCCTCAGCCAGCGCTACCARATGGGCTGTGACTGCAAGGTAAGGCAGCAGAGGTCCAAACACCTGGGTTTGGTTTGTCCCTCCGGTGTAACAAAACATCAGACACAACAACAGCCCGGATTAGACCGTTTGCATTTCCTGTTAAAATGCAGCGTGAATGCTTTACTGCTGAAAGCTGCTGAAGACAAACTGAAAAAGRGTTAATAGTAAAACTGTTAATGTGAGTTAAATTTGAGCAGCTTTTGCTGCAAGTAGGAAAGCAGAGCAGAAATATAGCTAAAATGATCAGAATATAGTAAATATTTGCAAGAAAGTAGCTTAAAAAGCAGAAAAGAAAGAAATAGCAAGAAACAAGAGGGGGAATTTACAAACAAAATATTAAAAAAATAATAAAGCTGAAATTTAGATGAAAGAAGGTAAAACAAGCAGAAAAATGACTAACGTGACCAACACCTTTTTATTTTGTGACTTTGCTATAAGAAGCTGAAATAATTGCTTTTTTAGTTGAAAAAAGTTGAAATTAGCTGAAAAGCAGCTTAAAATCTGCTAATAGCTGAAAGAAACTGAAGGAGAAAGTTTGTTGAGTTAATAATAATAAAGCACGAAAATGTGAATTTAGCTGAATAAAGCTCAATTTAGCTGAAAAGTGGCTTAAAAAGCTGTAAATAGGAAAAAAAACTGAAGAAGCAGTTTTGCTGAATTAATCAGAATGAAGCAGAAGTGACCACCAAAACATAAATTTAGCTGAAAAAAGCTGAAATTAGCATAAAAAGCTGTAAATAGGAGAAAGAAACTGAAGGAGCAAGTTTGCTGAGTTAATCAGAATAAAGCAGAAGTGACCACCAAAATGTGAATTTAGCTGAAAATAGCCGAAAAGTAGATTAAAAAGCTGTAAAGAGAAAAAAAACTGAAGGAGCAGTTTTGCTGAATTTAGTAGAATAAAGCTGGAATGACCACCAAAACATAAATTTAGCTGATTAAAGTTTAGATTAAAAATATCTGTTAAAAAGTAGCTGAAATGGTAGAAAAACTGAAAGAAGCTGAAAGGAGCCTAAAAATCTTAAATTAACAGAGGTAGAAAGAAACGTAAAAAAGTAGAAAGGAGTGGAAAAATAGCCAAAAATGCTGGAAATAGTTACAATAAGCAACAAAAGAAGCAGAAGTATAAGCTGAAATTAGCACAAATAAGTTAAAAGGCTGAACTAAATAAAAGGTAAAAATTGAAGTAAAGATTTATAAACATTTAAAGGGTTTCATTATTTCTTTTCAATGAGGGGAAAAAAGCCAGAAAAAGCTAAATATCTCAAGTATAAATTGCTGAAATACTAAGTCATTGCTGAAAAGAGCTGAAGGAGCTGAACGTGATACATGAATAGTTGAAACAGAACAAACATTGCGGAACGAGAGACTTGCTRAAACAACCAGATGGAAGTTTCAGACGTTTAGGAAACGAAACAGGAAATGCGACGCTCAGCGACTGGTTGTTTTGCGTGTCTCTGCAGATCGTGCGCTGCCCCTCTCTGCCCTGTGAGATCTCGGCTCCGGAGGAGTGTCTGTGGACGGACCTGATGATCGAGAAGCAGGTGCACGGACGCCAGGCCAACCACTACGCCTGCGTCAAGCGGGCGGACGGCTCCTGCTCCTGGTACCGCGGCGTCGCACCGCCCAAGAAAGAGTTCCTGGACGCCGAGGATCCCTAAAACCGCACGGCCGACCGCGCGCGGCCTGACGCCGATAAATCCAAACACGGCAATTAAAATTTGAAAACAAATAATGTAAAGCTATTGAGACAAAAAAAAAAAAAAGATCTGCTGGTCTGGAAACAACTTTCAGGCCACTTTTCACCTCAAAGTTTAAGATAAAAAAGGTTGCTCTCTGATGCAGCGTTAAATATTATCATGAGACATAGACTGGTCGAGTGATGATGTAACTTCCTCCTGAGGCTGGCGTTAGGAGGCTCAAAATTCTTGCTGAGACGAAGCACTTCCCACCCCACAAAGCTCTAGTTCAAATCTGCGCCCCTGCTTCTACTTTTATTACCTCATTTTTTTTGTCCTTTTTTTTTCCAAAGACAGATATTCTCCATGTTGCCTTTTCTTATAATCACACTAGATGATGCTTTTTATTTTTCATTTTCTTCCCCGTAACTGGTGACGTCTGATGCCCACAACATGCATTCTTTAAAAAGAACATGATTCATCTTGCACCGGCGATGAGACTCGCTGATAGAAATGCACCCACCTCATTTTCCTCCCAAAGTACAAGTACTCGCGTTTAATTGGCTGCAGATACCAGGTGCCGATACAACAAATGCCATTAAACTGCTTACAATTAGACGCCATTCCTGCCCAAAAGTATTGCTAGAAGATTTGAAGAAAAACCAAAACAGTGAGGCAAAGCGCAGACTTCCTGTCACTCGTCACGAGTGGAAAGAGAGCCACTGGGATTAGCTTAGCATTAGCTTAGCACCATTCTCAGATTGTTTGCAGCTGCAACAAATTAAAGTTCCTGTGACATGCATATCCTTTAAATAACAAAAGTCAAAGAAAACATCTTTATATTTAAGAAACTTGGCATAAAACACGTTTTTTTTCCCATTTTGTCCCATAACCGGCATATTTTCTTTTGTATTCGGCTCAACCAAGTGAAACAGGAAGTGACGTCAAAGGGGAACCTTTAAGAAAAGGAACTCCCTGGTCTTTATTTATTAAAACAATATTATTTGAACTCTGACTCAAAATAATCTAAAGAAACAGATTCTTCTCCACGTTGTGTTGTCGGCCATTGTAGCAACTCTCTGTTTACATGCAGACAGTCCCCTTTGACATCACTTCCTGTTACTTCACATGCGAGTACCTCAACAACTGTCCTCAGCGGCGTGATTTTTTTATTTATTTTATTTTTTTGCAATATGTGCTTAATGTTATTTCCCAAAAATAAATTAATATTTATTACAAAAAKTTCATGTCACATGCACTTTAAGCAGCTTGTTAAGCAGCTTTTCAGGCTCGTCGGTGACCTGTGGTGGAAAGCTCTCGCAGTTTCGTTCTCCTCGGAGTGTAGATCGATGGCAACAACCAGCCCAACCAATCATCTTGCAAATAACTTTATGGGCGTAACCACCACCAGCTGATAAAAATAAACAAACAAAAAAAAATCATTTTAAAATTGTATTGGTACTACRGTATCAGAGCTCTTTTATCAGAGTACACATATTGGCTCATCGGTCCRTCCCCACCTTCTGGTTTCAATTTATTTTTTATTTTTTTGTCCTTGTGGTTTTAGCTGAAGCCTCACTGGACCAGTCTATGTRGCTTAAAGATGGTCGCTCTAAATTCAAACCAATCTCTGCCCTTCAGCTCCATCAGGAATCTTCCTCACTTCAAACATTTCAGTCCTCCTGTCCATGTTATGTAGCTGTACAGTACCTATGCATATACTTTTGTTGTTACTTGATAATTATTATTATTATTATTTACTGCCATTAGAGCTAGATTTGCACTTTTTGAGGATGAGGATCCAGAACCTGAATTCTCGGATTTACCATTTTCTCCAAATCCACCTCAGGTGCAGATTTGATTTTTTTTTCTGCTTTGAGGGATTTTGGCGATTTATTAAAAATAAGAATAACGTATTCTTGCTATTTTTGTCCAAACACGTAGAATAACACTTCCTGTGAAAGACGAAGCAGTGGATGTGTGAAAGGTTTGGGGATCTTTTTGCAGATTTAACGTGTGAGAGATGAATCATTTGTGGGATGATACGTCAGCGTCTTTTTCATATCTGTCGGTTGTAAATGCATATTCTCGCTTCAATGTTTAGCTTCGACATTATTAAATGAAAGCTTTATCGCTGTCCTAGAAATCAAGTTACTCCAAGTTTACAGTGCTGTTTTATACACCTCAAGCTACAATAACTAAAAAAAATCTATGTATGATGAAGTATTAGAGGCATAATTTAAAAGTAAACTCTTTCTGTTTTCCTTTACTTTGTATTTTTTAGTGTTCTTATTATAACTGTCACAATTTTAATGTGTTTGTCCACAAATGTTTTTTTTTTCCGTTGTTTATTTCGCCGTCTTGTTTGGAGGGTCCTCGTACGCTGGAGCGACGTGAGCGAGGGAGTGATGGAGGAGTGCAGAGACGTGAGAAGTGTGTACTTTGTGTGAATCGGGGACTCTGCATGTGTTTGATGCTTTGTGTACGTCCGAGCAAAGGACAGAATATTCAGTATTAACTAATAAAAAGACACAAGTTTCAAACGTGATGCACTTTTTGTTTTTTTGTTTGTTTTTTAGTTGAACGCTGCAGAGCGAGCGAAAGTCGTGTGTGTTCTTTGCAAAACAACTTTTTCATAAAGTTTTCATGTGTTTTGATGAAACTTTTGTGCAACTACAAATAAACATTCGGAGTCAACCAAATTCAAGATGGCCGCCAYAGTCAAATGATTGGGCAGAACACAAAAAAATAGCTACAACTCTGTTTTTATGAAATTCAGCCAAAATTTGATGGTAGCTAAGACTGATCCCTAACACACTCTGAGCTCAAACAGATTGCATATTTTGTTATAATGTTAGCATTAACATTAAAAGTTTTTATCAATGCTGTTAGCAAAATTTCTCATGAACCATTGGACAAATTTTATTGAAACTCACCAGAGGGAAGCGTGAATGTTCATCTACAACTGATTAAATTTTGGAGTAAACCAAAAACAATATGGCTGCCACAATCAACCGAATATAAAAAAATGCTAAAATATTGCTAGCTTAGCAAAATTTACTGATATTGAGCTAAAATATGGTGTACTARTAGCTAAGACTGATCCTCAACACGTACTCTGAGCTCAAATAGATTGCACAATATCTTTGCTTCAAATGTTAGCATTAACAGTCATTCTCATAGTTGTTRGTCTGTTAGCAAAATATCTCATGAACCACTAGAAGAATTTTAATGAAACTTTTTGAAAGTAATCATTGGATATACAACTACAGCTGACTAAACTTTGGAATTGACACGAAACAAAATGGCTGCCACAGACAAACGAATGTCGAAAATTAAAAAATGCTAATAGCATAGCAAAATCTACTTATATTGAGCTAAAATTTAGTGTGGTAGAAGCTAAGACTCATCCTCAACACAAACTCTGATTTCAAATGATTKTGCAAGATCTTTGTTTCAAATGTTTGCATTAACTGTTGTTCTCAATGCTGTTAAGTCTGTTAGCAAAATATCTCATGAAACATTGAACAAATTTTAATGAAACTTTCACGACTACCGCTTTGTAGTTTTTCAAAATAAGATGATCTTTGTTTTTCATGAAAGGCAGCGGGTGAAACGCATTCCTTCAAGGAACACTAGGTCACTAATTTTCTTTGCTTCTAGTTGTTAAAAAAGACTTTTCAACCCATATTAAGCATGGCTGAAATGGCCTAAAATCCCCTTCCTATTAGACATCAGTGCAAAAGTTTCATTTTTTAAGCATTCATTTAGTTTGTAAATCTTGTAGGYGTTCATTTAAGACGATTCTTCCCAAACAGAAGCATTGACTGAAGATAAAATCCAACTCAAACTGTTGGGTTTGCCCTTCGTTTGGCTGCTGCTTAATTTCCCACAGAGGGGCAGACGGTTGTGAAAAGCTGAACAGAAATCTATTCTGCAAGAGTAGATGTGGTCATCGAGTCAGAGTGGAAAATATTTCAACAATGTGCAGGCAGGGCCCAGATCGGGCGGTTTTGTCATTTCTGCTCATTCTCCTGTTATAGGATTATAAACCGTCCCCGGTGGGAGGGGAGTTCAGTTTTTCCTACGCTCTGATTCTGAGGTCAGTGCCTCTGTGGGAGGGTGTGAAGTTAGATAAGTGGAGGAGACTTAATGCACAGTTTCCATTACTGTTCTCTGTTCCTGCTTACAGACACTCAGTTTGGACTTTTGTCTTTGTGTTGAAATGCATTGGGTAACAGATAAATCGTACAAATGGTAAAACTCCCAAGAGACATAGAGAAGACAGAACATTGTGTTTCTTTTACAAACTCTTACCCTTTGTGGCAGTTTCTTTGTATCAGCCGCCCCAGTGATGGAGACAGTTTAGGACCGCTCCATATCTGTAATCATTAAATGTCATCTTGTTGTGATCATCAGGTGTGCAGAAGGACAAATGTGCCCACGATGCCACCCAGTGGCCACCTGGAGTCACTACAGTCTTTAAAACTAAATCACTCCTCTGGACAACATGACTATTACAGGTTTTTATTGTTTCTTCTGCGTTAAAATATTTTTATATTAAATCTTACACTCCCAGAGCAGATTTAATGTCTGTTGTGCCATGTTCATGCTAAATTCAGATACTGTTCTACTCATTATAGTTACTGTGTTGCTGATTTGAATATGTGTTTTGCTATTATAGATATGTGTTGGTACTTGCAGCTACTGTTTTGCTGATTTTAGCTAGTATTTTTCTGGATTTATCTACTGTTGGTCAATTTTGTTAATGTTTTGCTAATGAAGTATTAGTTAGCTAGTTTTAAAACTGTTTTGGTACGTTTAGCTACTGTTTTGTTGACTTTTGCTACTGTTTTGCTGATTTTAGCGTCTGTTTTGTGAGTTTTAGATGTATGTCTGTACTTTTAGCTACTGTTTTGCTGATTTCAGCAACACTTTGGCTGATTTTAGCTTCTGTTTTGCTGATTCAAGAGTCTGTTTTGGTAGAAAAAAAATATGCGTTGCTACTTTTAGCTACTGTTTTGCTGATTTCAGTATCTGGTTTAGATATTTTAAATATATGCTGGTACTTTTAGCTGCTGTTTTGCTGATTTGAATATTCGTTTTGGTCATTTCAGATTTGTGATGGTTCCTTTAAGCTTCTGTTTTGCTGATTCCAGGATCTGTTTTGGTAGTTTGAAATATACGTTGCTACTTTGAGCCACTGTTTTGTTGATTTTAACTTCAGTTTTGCTGATTCCAGCAACACTGGCTGATTTTAGCTTCTGTTTTGCTGATTAGAAAATGTTTTTGGTCATTTCAAATATGTGTTGGCTCCTTTTAGCAACTGTTTTGTTGATTTTAGCAGGTTTTGCTTATTTTAGATGCTGTTTAATGTGTTTCACTACTTTTAGTTTTGTCATCTGTTGTGCTAATATAAGATGCTGTTTGTCTAGTTTTATTATTACCATTTGATTTACTAATTGTAATTGCTGTTGTGTTCATATTAGCTTCAGTTTTGCATGTTTTAATTGTTTTTCAGCAGTAAATCAGCACTCAGTATTTGTTTTTCTACTTTTTATTACCAGTTTTTTGCAATCAATCAATCTTTATTCCAGACACAAAAAAGGTCCATAGYAGAAAAAAAAGGTAAAAACAAAATAAGAGAAAGAATAAAAATAAACATGACATATTCACTGAGTAACAAATAATAGTTTTATTTTGAAAGAGCTGGTTCTTCTTGTTTCTCTGTTTTTGGTTTTCTTCCTGTCTGTATTCGTGGAGTTTGTTACCTGTTGTCCCTCACCTTTTCCTTTTTTCTACATCTCTGTATTTGTTTACTCTTTTCAACAGTTTATTATAAGCAGCTCTTTCACTTTTTATTATTTAGTTTGTGTAAAACTCTTTTAGTTTTCATCCGCCCTTTTAGATTCATAGCTGCGTATTTGTCTCTTCCACTCAGCATTTTTAGAGACGACGTTTCCCTTCAACAAAACCTTCTTGGGAGGAGAAAAACCTCCATGCAAAAATGTTAAAGGAATGAAAATGATGTGAAATATTTTCTCTGACCTTAAAGAACCAAAGTTTGTCTCATTCTTGTCCTTCAGCCTGGTTCAAGGCTGGAGACAGACACATGTCTGCTGGCTGAAAATGCTCACGCACCTTTGGATTCAACAGATAATATTCTTTGTTTTTTATATTAACCCTCAAGGCGAAGAGATGATCATGTTTTTTTTTTCATTGTGTGTGAGAAAAGCAACAACAAAAACAACAAAAAAAAAACATTTTTCTCTTATTTTTCTCTCCTCATTTTCAGTTCACTCTGGACACAGTTCATCACAACATTTGACTCAGAGAAGAGGTCGTTTTGTTTTGCGGTCGTGTAAAACTCCCAGCAAACGACTCTTCTTCTCACAATCGGGTGAATTTCGTTTTAAATGACTTCAAGCCGACTTCAATCTGTTGCCAGGGAACTGAGCCCTTTTCTAAAAGAGTCGCAGCTTCCTGCATCAGAGCTGTGGTTCTGGATGTGTGGGGACCATTTCAGAAGGCTCAGTCTGCGTCTGCTCCTGTGCATGAGATTCATCTCAAACTGGAGCTGAGTCAGGACTTAACTGGACCTGAATCAGGACTAAACTGGACCTGAGTCAGGACTTAACTGGACCTGAATCAGGACTTAACTGGACCTGAGTCAGGACTTAACTGGACCTGAATCAGGACTAAACTGGACCTGAGTCAGGACTAAACTGGACCTGAATCAGGACTTAACTGGACCTGAATCAGGACTAAACTGGACCTGAATCAGGACTTAACTGGACCTGAATCAGGACTAAACTGGACCTGAATCAGGACTAAACTGGACCTGAATCAGGACTAAACTGGACCTGAATCAGGACTTAACTGGACCTGAGTCAGGACTTAACTGGACTTGAGTCAGGACTTAACTGGGCCTGAATCAGGACTTAACTGGACCTGAATCAGGATTTAACTGGACCTGAATCAGGACTTAACTGGACCTGAATCAGGGCTTAACTGGACCTGAATCAGGACTAAACTGGACCTGAATC